GAAAATTCAACCGGAAAGGCTATAAAAAAAAAACACAAGAGCGCAAATGAAAAAGTCGAATCGCTTCGTAATGAATCTACGCCGTTGCGAGCGTTGAAAATTATATGCGAGGAGAGGCCTCTTCGTCTCGCGGCCGAATTCCATTCGGGGGCGATTCCGATAGAACCGAGGTGGGGGGGGGTAGCGACGAGGCTCGGAGAGAGGCCGAAACTTTAAGACGGTAAATTGCCGAAATTACTGCGAGGATCAAAGGGGCGCCTTGGCCATTAAAGTTTCCGCCCGATTAATCGATCGTGCGGCGCATCTCGAGAAGCGCCGCGCCGCGCCGCACCGTCGCGCCAAAACGAAAACGCAGATGTGCGGGATAGGTCGCAGATCGCGGTCTCGTGCGACTCGCTCTGACTTCGACACGAATCCCACCGAATTAGAAATAAGACTGACGCGCTCTCGAGTGCCGTAGGGGGAGGAAAAAAAAGCTTTCTGAAACAGTGCGACGGAAGTTTAAAAATTCAGGCGGGTACGCCGGTCGCTTAATCCGCGACAAGCGTTCCCGTAAAGTTTGCAGCGCATCTGCAGAAACGCCGCGGCGCGGCGCAACGGATTAAGCCGATATAAATTAAATTATGGAAATCGTGCTGGGGCCGCGCTGACTGCGGGGGTCGAATTTTCACTTCGCGATACACAAGTAAAAAAAACATGCGAGCGAGAGCGGATGAACACGAATATTTCTTAATCTCCATCTTTCTTTAGCGGAGTTTAATCGAACGATTAAATTTTCATTAATCGCACATTTATATCACGAATATATACTTTCACCTTTTCAAAATGTCATGAATATATAGCATTGCATAAATCGATTCGAATGCTAATCTCGCTAATTAAAAATCTATCCAAAAATATAAAGAATCAAATCAAAAGAATTGCAATTAAAAAACGGAATAACGAAAATATAAAGAATCAAGTCAAAAGAGTTACAATTAAACAGCGTGTTAAGCAATAAAGTAACATTCCATTGCTGAAGGAGAATGGTACTGTAAATACGTATCGGAATGAGCGATGTAAAAGTATTTCGGCGAATATTTCAAAGAGAAATGCGCGACCTCAGGATCGGTTCAATTAATCAATGTCGAGATCGCGGGAGGATGTGGGAGGTTTTTCCACGCCACACAGGAGGACGAGCGAGATCTCGAATATGCATTCCGCGCGAAATTGGCGAATCGCAGGGGTTCGACTCTCTGCCCCGGCACAAGGGAGGCGGAAAGTTCGGAGTGAAAAGTTAAGGACGGAAAGTTGAGCGGAGCCGGAGAGAGAGCAAATGGATGGCGTACCGCGCTCATGGAAGAGTCATGAGACGATTCCCCGCCACTCGTGTCTTACGGAAAACTTGCGTTCTCGTATGGAAAAGCCGCGCGACTTGATTGAAAGGGTTCGCGCGCGCGGAGCAGCTCGGCTACTCCCGCACAGAGCAGCACGTTCAAAGCGGCAAAGCGCTTTGATGACGACAATACCCTCGTTGTAGATAGGAACGTATATAGGAACTTCATAAGTACATTTATTAAACTTCAGCTGTAGCAAAAAAAAAATATCTTGTTCGGAGTTGAGATTACATTGAGCCCCCGACGAAAAGAGATTTTCAACTTTTTATGCACCGGACAATACGTTTTCTCATCTTTTTACTTATTGGCGTTAAACTTTTGCTTCTATACGTCGAAAAGAAAAAAAAAGAGGCTTCTGACACTAAACCACGGCTCATTATGCATGTACAGACTTTAGGAGATAAAAAGCGTTGACAATAAAGAGTGCTACAAATGGCCTAGTTTCGCAATCGGTTAGCCGGGTCTCGTTTAGATTCTTTATTTGCTCGGTAAATCCTGCTGGAAAACTACAGGTGTAGCGCGGATTAGCAAATCGATAGACACTCGAGAAACGTACCGTAACTATCGAGTCTTTCGTGTTGCAACTCGCCACTCTATTTCGGGATAATTCCTGTTGAAAATATACTCGATTTGCGAAATCGTTGTAAAACAATGTAACATTGGTAAAACAAACTAGGTAGAAATTCTGAGAAATGTAAATGCAAACATGGCACTGAAATATACATTTTTGTATAATTTATATATGTATGAATATACACATACTTTTGTACGTCTGTATTGATAAAACAATTTATCCTGAAATCTTTCTAGGATGCTTTTATAATATTTTATAATAAATTCATAATAAATGGTAATTTGAAATTTATTTGTGTTTTTTCCAATGTTTTACGCGCTTTTACATAGGTACATGTGATCTCGCTGCAATCCCATCATTTCGAAAAGATACATCGGAAAGTGTAGGGTAACTCCGGTATATACGCCGCACTTATTAAAAACTTAATTTAGGTATCATTAAGGGTATTATTAATTATGTTTAAGGTAAATGAACTATACCAGTAAAAACTTTAGACAGTCTACTACTATGAAAAAAAAATATTAGGAATCCAAAATATTTATTTTTTATATTTAAAAAAAAATTTTTTTAATCCTTGCATTTTTGTCGTACAAAAATATGGGTTATATGTCCATTCACGGGTGGGATGAATGATTCAAAAAATATACAAATAATCTAAATAATAAGTAAATAACGTGAATTGATAACGTAATTTGCATTTACTTCTTAATAAATAAATAAAAAACGTATTATCAGATTACAAATAAATACATACATGAATATTATTTGATTAATGTATTGTAAAGGGCGTATTATAACGTATTATTATTTACATATATATTTATAAATAAATAATAGAGCGTTTGTATTACGACATAAATCCTACGCGCTAAAAATGCCGCATATCCTAAACAGATGAAATATACGAGACAATAAACTAAACGAAGAATACAAGAGCTAAGAACTTGTATTTTGCTATACCTGTCCTTTACAATTCCTCTACACTTATGTACCACGAAATAACCACGAAGCCTTTTATATTTCCTACAATAATCATTTTATGTAGATTATAACTTATGGTTGCGCTATTTAAATTACAGCGATAAATCGATTTAACTTACAATAATTTTATAAATATTGACAGTAAAAAACTAAAATCATAACACAATACTAATATAACATGAAGGAAGTAACAGAGTGGTTGCGAGAAAATTACTTTCACTTCTTCTATTTTTTCTGACTTCTGCGGCATAACTCCTCGCGCGGCGTATATACCGAAGTTACCCTACAATTTTTCGACACAATCGTACCACCTGCGTTAGCTCCGTAAATTGCAGCAACGTTAGCGACGTGATGCATGAATCCGAAAATACGAATTTTCACCTCCGTTGATGATTGTTGGTCGAACGTGATCGGCGAAAGCTAACAAACGGATGCCGCGGCCATTAGCTGATGAGGGCATCGTAGTTCATTGAGCCTTACTGAACTGAGATCGGAAATTACAATGTATGAGGGAGGGAAAAAGCTAGTTGGAGAGAAGAACGTCAAGTCGGGGAAAACAACAGGTTCTTTCAAATGCTAAACGATCTACTGCAATAGAGTAACTGCGCGCGTTGCATATTTATATAGTCACTAAAAAAAACCCCACTAAACATCTCTTTTGAGATGTATTACAAGAGTCAATGGATGAACCTCGTCCATTTATTAGAACTTAGGTCCTATTCATGATGTTTAAACGATGAGTGTATTCAGCGTGAAAAATTCGAATGAATCTAAAACTTTTAATACCTCGCGCAATGTTAAATTCAGTTAATTGATTCGGAAAATTTATTTTCACTTTGGGTAACCAAGAAAAAATTTGCTTGCTATGATTAATCTCACAACTATTTCAGTTTTTATTTAATTTACTTTCTACTGACTTTCTAATATGCTAATTTATACGTATAATTACCATTGCTTTCAGCATTACGACAATTTAACGCTGCTAAATGCAGCACTATACGATGAAACATGTATGAGTACATGTACATAAATCACCATAATATTTTTCGTTGGCTGATAAAAATATCAGAGTATGTGCGCGTTTCATGAGCATCACGCGGCAAAAGATGGTTTACGATTTTTTGCTTTAATTAAAAAAAAATTTTCAACGAACCGATCAACGCTCAATTCCGGATGCTCGCGTGTTTCGTGCATATAAAACTGATGTATGCCATTTCGAAACTCGTAAACTATTAAAGCTGCGTCTGTATATGATCAATATTATTGATGCAACATATCGTGTAAATAATACTGATATCGTGTAGATATAATATTGATACCAATATAGACACGATCGATTCGTAATTGCGCAACATATGAAGTTACTGTGCAATTTCATCGATCGCTTAGGAATCGCTTTAGAGAAATCTGGCTTTATTTTTATACAATGATTTTGCAGTTTTTGATAGATTAAACAAAAATAAATAGTTCTGATCGTTGAGTCAAGGAAATTACATTAAATTAAGACGCCAATTTAGGCGTTAGATTAAAAGAAGGTAATATTTTTTCATTTAGACAGTTCTTACACAATCTTAATCAGCTTTAATAAAAAGTTTTATTAGATTTATAACAAATTAAAAAAAAATTTCAGAATATTTATCTTGGAAATAATGGAAACTCTTTTGTGGAACTTATTAAATTTCTTGATCACACGCGAGCAATCTTTTACGAAGGAGACGTGACAAGCATGATGCTGGACGCACAACAAAGAGTACGGAACGATCGTATCGTTAAGATGGAGTAGTTACATCAGCGATTCTCGATGAAACCGAGTATTAATACAAGTGGAGCAGAAATCTTGATTGCAATCTCCGCCGACCGGCCATTGTCTTTCGTTCGTTCAATCAGCTTGATCGAAAAAAACAAGGGATTCGTATAAATCGAATTAATAAGTTTCATAACTCGAGGATATGCGATTGACAAAAACGTAAAAATCCCTCCTTTTTCTATTTTGTTTCTAAATTCATGTTTTATTTGAGAAATAATTTTTTCAACTTCCTTTAACTTTGACAAAAATAAAAAATATATTTGATTATGTAACGAAGAGAGAGCTAATACTTCTAGAAAAAATATTTTTGCAAAACGTATTGTATCTTGGACAGAAAAATATCATAGCTTGGAAAATTAATTTTCCGAGAACAGAATTGCAAGATTTAATTAAATCTGTAAATTAGGGGATTACAATTAGGGGACAATATTTCGTTTGGCAAAGTTTGAATTTTACCAAAACTAAATGAGATTGTTGTTGGTGTTTCGGAAGAAATTTGTTTTGCTTGTTACAGTTTCATTAAAAAATAACACTGCCATAATATTGTCTTTTTCTCAAGACGTAATATAAGAATTTTGTCGAGAAAGAAAACGATCGATAAATATCGCATCGCGATCAGAAGAAAAACGCGATCGTGCGCAATTTCACTCGGGGGAGCACATGTGGGAATACACGTGTGACACTTTCGAAAGATTCGCTCATCCCTCACATTTTAGATATTGATTTCGAGAGCTGCACGCGCGCTCGAGTCAGAATCGTCAGAAGTCTGGTTCGCTAAATGCTATTGAATACAATATATAATGGAGATCAAGCAGGTTTTTCTGAAAAAACGCACGGAATTCGGCAAGCAGTGCATCTTCGACATATGCGGCCCGCAATTGGACGAGGAGATCAAGCCGGATCCCGACGCTATGGCTCATTACATTTTAAAGTCTCACCGCAACGTCGGCGTGCAGCACACCAAACAGTTCGCCTTGCACGAGGTTAATTTCGAATAATTTATTACAACGCTAATTAGGCAATCTCATTGAATTTTGGGCAAATGCGCAAAGAAAATTTGCTCCTCGAAGTGTATTGCAATAATTTACGAGATATTACATGATGCTCAAGATTTCCGCGGTAATAAGCGGCTCTAGCCGGAGTTACAATGTCGGATCCGATGTGAAGGTTAACGAACTGCAGCTCTTGTGGCAGCCCTCCCTCCAACTCAAAAACTCTACTAATATATTCAAAAATCAGCTTCGCTTAACTTTAACGAAACTAGACGCAACTTGCGGTAAAATTGGCGTCAGACTGACGCGCCTGACGGCGCAGCATCTCGCGGAGTTCGCTACCTGATGCCACAAATGCGCAAATTTCTGCGAAACTACACAACGGGCGGAAAGACGGGCAACCCCGCGCGAATTTTACACGACCGGCACGTTTTGTTTTATAATGAGGCGCAACTCAAGGACTGGCAGACATTCGACATTACTTTAACAACAGCAATTTCACAACTCATAATTTTAATGCCGCGGAATATTTCAACCGTATGCTTAGAAGAACTTAATTAACGGTAAAATATATAGTATAAGATGTAAAAACGTGTTGCGAATAATCATAAATTTGCGCTTATTTTATCTTCAACGTTACACTATTTTGTTGCGTTAAAGAAATGAGGAACAACCGGAAACAGAGTTGTCTGCACACACGCGGTCCTGCGGTCAACCCCGTGGAATTTCACATTATCGTCCTAGCAATCATTCCTATGGCATTCCAGGCTCAAACTGTCGGCAGCCAAACGAAGAACAGTGGAATGTTTCACTTCGAGGGTGGTTGGCCGAAGGAAATCAATCCGAAGGACGAGGAAACTACAGCGAGGTTTCGCAGACGAATCGAGAAGGGCGACGATTGGGCGTCGAAATTGCAGAACTTATTTCAAGTATATTAAATGGATTATCCGCGAGAACTTCTGTCTTATTGAGCTAAAACTTACTTAATCAGAACCTTAAAAGAATAATTGATATCGAATTCAAGAAATTAATTAATAATTAATAATTTATTTCTTGTGATCAATTGTATAATTCCAGATATTGATATCACATTATATTTTATCATAGAAAATACAAGAATTATATTGTTGTTTTCTTTTCCGTAGGAAATGGAGCACAATATTCTTCAAAACGGGGCACTTAATATATATGAACACTATTTCGACGAAATGATTCCCACAGAACTAGTGAAACTTCGTAGTCTCAGGTGCAAATTTAATTTTGTCATAATTCATCTATATTCTATCTGTTGTTGAAAGATCTAAAAATTTTGCTAAATATAGATCCGAAAATAATTTTTTGTTGAATCATCAAAATAATTTATTGGAATGTAAAAACTGATAAGCATTGCTATAAAACGTTTTAATATTCTAGCAATCATTTTGACTTTTGCACAAAATTATTTTGATTATTGAACAAAAATTATTTTCAGATCTGGATTCAGCAAAATTGTTCTTTCCGTGTAACAAATGAGGGCTTGTATATAATTCACGGATACCTCAAACACGGATTGATTTGTTAACGTGGAGCACAATACGTAGTGAGAAGTGTGAAATATTCATGTTAAAAAAGTTTTCTTGACATAATGGCTGTAATCGTAAAATAAATATGGACATATCATAAAACAATAATTCAACGAATTAAAGGGATCTGAATAGATTAAAGTTTTCATTATCACACGGCACATCGATACCGGAGCACGGAGCTACGTGTGATTTCAGATGAACAATTTTAAAATGTATATATTCGTGGAGGACAAGAACGACTACGTTGGTTCGGCCATCAAAAGATTTAAAATTTAAACCCGGGCCGAGCCCGAAGGTATCTGAACATATGTCGGGATTCCGGAGTCGGTAGTGGACGCGAATGAATTATGCATCCTACCGCTAAATTTGCTTTTCTCTGTTTTAAACTAACGATTTTCTACGTACGGGAGCTGCGGCCTTTGAACGCTATTTAATTAATTTAGCTATTTTGAAAAGAAGCGGCGCGAGAATAATAATTTTTTCCTCTTCATTCAAACGTTAAGTACATTTCTCAATAATGTAATAACAATGTACGGGTAATATAACACCGTCAAATTTAATGTTAAAATTAATAAATTAAAATTCGAACGTGCAATAAAAAAACAGAAATAATACAGAGAATTACATTGTAAGTTTTAGGTTATCGCAACATAATACATTTATCAAAAACCATATATTAATACTAAAAAGATATTTATATACATACATACATTTATATACATTATATACATCACAAAGTTCATCAAAGTTTTCTGCAACTTGCAGAAAAATGAGAAATTTATATTATTTTTCAAATACTGAAATTCCATATTTTGGCCGAACATATTTTACACGGATATCATTTTAATGGTATTATTAAAAAGCTATGCATATTTCCTTTTTACTGCATCAAAGTCAATAGCAGTCTGAATTTCTATTTCAGGATAGTGAAGGTCTACGAGGATCCCCAAACGCCGGCGAGATCGGTGAACAATATTTCTTGGTCGCCAGACTCTGGCAGTAAAATGGTGGTCTCGTACTGCTCCTTTGGAGTCGAGCCAGATTACAGTAACATTGCGTACATCTGGCAGATTGGTAGGTGGAAAAAGCGTGCAGGAGCCTTGACTGCATTTAGACGGCGCACTTGATTACGGTTGTACAACGTCCGCAATAAGTTTCCGCCCTTAACCCGCATTAACGTTTTTAGTAAACCGGGGGGAAGGGGGCGATTTTTTTCTCTACGGCTTGCAAATTGCTTCGATAAATAACAATCTCGTTTCACAAAAAATTCATGAGGTTTTTTTCTTGTTGAACGTTTAAGAACGCTTCTTTTCGACTAATCTAATTGCTCGTAACAAAATGTAGTCTTGAACTTTTATCGCGCTATAAGTGATGTAAATCTCTCAACAGAAAGATATACTTGCCGATATAATTCTATTACGATGGAAGTAAATTAGATATATAATGTAATATTATTAAATATTGCAGTAGAGATTGTGCTTGTGTATCCATGGCTCTTTTGTGTACGTAAAACGCCTCCCTCTCATCTCCACGTACGCAAAGTTAAAGTTAGATTAATTAAAAAGTCCTACGCGAAATTCAGTTTTAGCGATCGAATATGCCAATTCTCTCTGCACAACGTTCATTCGACACTCGATGGAATGTTGATCAATCAAGCAGCACTGCATTGTTATATTGATTCATTAAACGAAAAAAAGAAAGAGAGAGAGAGAAAGAAATGCAATGTTTCTACATCGGCAATTACAATCATCTTACTTCTATAACAAATGAAACTACTAGGCAAACAACGCGCGCGCGGATTGGGCACGGGAGCCCAACGATATTGCATTTCTCGCGTATTGGAAATGGAATGTAGCTGCACTTTATTCGACGTATGTATTTTTCAACGATACGCGTCTCTAATGGCTCGAAATCGGATTTTACAAGCGCAACCTTTTTAATCTTTCAAAAATAACGCGATGTTTTTTCCATTCGTTTTCGTTTCGGTCGACGACCGGAAAACGACGCCCGGAACTGGTCGTCGAATATTCGGAAAAAAAAAACACTGCGCGGCACAGCCAATCCTAATAAGCCGTGGATGACACTGGAGACCCCGTCCGCCACGGTGGTCAGCGAGTTTAATCCCCGAGATCCCTCCATACTTGCCAGCGGCTTGGTGTCAGGCCAAGTTTGCAGCTGGGACGTCAGGACTGGCACCGCTCCGGTTCAAATGTCTCATCGTCAATTCAGTCATAGGTAATCTCGACGTGTACATGCCTGGGCGCGACGTCGGAACTTTGGCTTTCATAATTCAGCACCGAAGTGCCCTAGTGTTCTTGGCCGATCGAAAGAGCATTCGCGCGGCTCACGCGCGCGCGACACGATGATGAATGATTAAAATGTTGCCCCCTGTCGCGTTTCCGTCCTTAATTAAGTTTCACCAATTTTTTTTTTCCTTTCCTTTCTAACACGACATTCGTCACGTCGCGCGTGATTTTTCTTCTCAACATCAGAACGCGGCTTGCAACGGCGACTCGATTATCTTCATTTCGTTTTATCCGTGGAAAAAATGCAGCGACAGAAAGAGAGATTACTTCGCTTGGAATAATTGTATGATATAAGAGAATATGATTGAATTAATAAAGAGTTATAATTACAAATCCCTTTTATGAGATATATCCTACTTTTTGAATGACGTGTATAAGAATTCTATATACATTTTCTAAGGGATTGCACGACGGTGGTGAAGTGGATCGCCACGAAGAGCAACACGGAGTTCTTCTCGGGCTCTTCGGACGGACGTGCCATGTGGTGGGACATCAGGAAGTTGCGTGCGCCAACCGAAGTTCTCGTGTTCGATCTCCAGGCGCCGAACGAGCAGAATCTCGCGCGGGCGATCGGAATCGCGTCGGCCGATTACGAGCCCAGCGTGGGCACGAAGTTCATGTTCGGTTTGGAGAATGGCATCGTGATCAGCGGTTCGAAAAAAGCGAGGACGCCGGCCGAGAAAATGGCCTTGAAATTCAACGCTCATTACGGCCCGGTTCTTTCCGTCGATCGCAGTGGCTTCAATCCGAAGATCTTCCTGACCGTCGGCGACTGCACGGCTCGTGTCTGGGCGGAGGACTCGAAGGACGGCAATCTCGTGTCGACGAGGTACTTTTTTTTAATAATTTGAAACGAGACATTCCAGGAAGTAGGTATAAGAATGATAACTTCAATATTTACTCCAAAAAATATTTACAATCAAAAAATATACATATGTAATAATTATAATTTGAATAAGACTGCTTATGTGAATAACACAACTAACTTCGAGAGCGTCTTTTCGCAGTCATGGCTGCATGGAAGGAACGATTTTGTTGAAAAGTCTAAAAATTTTGCTAAAAACAGGTCTGAAAATAATTTTTTGTTGAATCATTAAAATAATTTGTTGGGATGTTAAAACTGATAAACATAGTTAAAACATAAACATGTTAAAACTGATAAACATTGCTATAAAATGTTTTGATATTCTAGCGATCACTTTGACTTTCGCACAAAATGATTTTGATTATTAAACAAAAATTATTTTCAAATCTGGATTCAGCAAAATTATTCTTTCTGTGTAGATCTTAGATGTCTAATAAATTCTATATCAATTTTTCTGAAATCCAAGTAAATACTGAAATTCGCAATAAGTTGTTTTCAGTATTTTAAGATGCTTATAAGCATCGATTGATTAGGAAGATCAATATGATATTTCTATTCTAGCCTCAGCTAATAATTGCGTTTCAAGTCCGAACATTTAATCGACGTGCAGTTTAACGGCTGTACATGGATTTCAGAAAAATTTATATAGAATTTATTAGGCATTTAAGATCCAGCCGCGAAAAGATGCTCTCGAAGTTAGATGTGATATACATATATGATTTTGTTTGAATAACTCAATACTGTATCTTCGATATAATACTTCTATACGAAATTATAATAAGTTAAAATTTATATAAATTTATATAATATTTATATAATATTTAACTAAAACAGTAAATCGAATTTTAATATAACATTATTATTAATCATTATAATTCACTTCATAAGCGAAATACAAGTCGCTTGTTGTGATATAAATAATAGTCATTAATATAGATGCTACATCTAGGGCAATTAATATGAGATATTTAATATTAAAATATCAATATTGAATCAATTAATATTAATATTTAATACTGAATTAATTCTAAATATCAATTAATTTTTCATATCCTAAAACGTATATTGTTAATTCTTGCGGCAGTATGAAATCAATAAATTACAATTGTTTGTCAGGCTAGAATATAATTAAATTAAGATTTTTTAATTAAGATGTTTATACAATTATCAATCTTTAGATTTTTAATGGAGGGCCCAGTCTGCGGTTGCTGGAACAAAACCAGACACTCTATATTTTACGTAGCGACGCGTGCCGGCGTGCTGACTGTGTGGGACCTGCTGATAGGCCTGCATAAACCAATCTTGACAGCAAAACTATGCAAGCAAAAATTAACTGCGGTCGCGTCACATGAGATGGGATCTTTACTAGCCGTCGGGAATTCTGCCGGCAACGTTTATCTCGTCGAGTTGACGGAGGCGCTGTATTCGTTTGATAAAAATGACAGGAACGATTTCACGTCGGTGAGAATCAGCAGTTTTTATCTTTTCATAAAAATTTGCGCTACGCGAAATTAATTTATGTAATTGAAATGAAATTTAGTAGCAGTACGCGCAACAAACAAATGTTAAATAATTGCTGATAATGTTATGAGATAATGTATTATAGATAATTATGTAACAATCTTTACTAATATTTTTTATTCGATGAAAAATGTGATCAAATTAATTTTTCATTTTAAAGTTCATTATACGATGAATTTGATAAATATAATTAATTAAAGAGAGGCATAAAATAAACGCGATATTCATTGCGCTTTTCCGAATTTATGACGCCAGTACCTGGAGAGGTGTTCTCGTTTCGTGAAGACAATAGATGCGCGGATGAAAGAAATAAAATTAGCGAAAACTGCCGTAGAGGAACCGTTGCAAGAGCTCGCATTGGTGGAGCCGAAAAATAAAAAGAAGAATAAACGATTAACGGACGATCAGAATAAACGAAAGATTGAAAAAGAAAAGGTAAAAGAGCCGCGAGAGAAAGCTAGAATTATATCCAAGAGAAAGCCTAAAGATGAGTTTCCCGAACTTCAAGAGGTGGAAGATAAATTTTTGGAGATTGTGAAAAAGGTACAATATCGAAAGAATCGTTCGACAATTCTCTTAAAATATCATTAATACCATTTTAATCAAAATATTTTTCAAATTAAAATTTTTAGTCGATCAAAAATGAGGTTTAATAACTTTTTAATAACAATCAAAAATTAAGAAAATTGTTTAATCAAATTTCCATAAAGACACTTTGTACTATAAATCTAAATTTCGCACAAAAAAGCCGCGTGTCATTTGAATATATTTAATTTCACACTTTATTCTTCTTTCTCCTAACGTTTTATTTTCATGGTTTAATAAAATTTCTAATATATCACTCGCGGTCAGCTAACTGCAATATATTAGAGAACTTTTGTAATATTTCATCTATCTTTCATTCGACTGCGACCTTCTACTCTTCCGTGTGATTTATCGCCCACTGTCGCGCGAAATGTCACTAAATAATAATTATACTCGACAAGATTTAATACAGTTGTTAGAAAAGTAAATTCATGACACACGTGCGAATTATATACATATAACTATCAATAATTTTATATTAAATAAAAACTTATTAATTTCATATTTATTAAAAAAATACATCACAACTTTTAAACAATTTTATAATTTTCTGTCATTTCTCATCACAAAATAGCAATATAATCATTGAAAAGATTGATTTCTAAGGCGATCACTTTATTACTATTTAACAATATATATTTATTTTAAAGTTTTAACTATTTTAAATCTAAATCTTAAGAAGAAATTTTTATAAACAAAATCTTAATTGCAATCATTACAAAAAGACATTAAAATTTTAATTACATATATCACGATACTGTATCTAATACAGTCAATATAAATTAAACGATATATAGATAATAAAACGAATAATTTCATTTATTGTGTATCATTTTATCTACACTATTGATTTAATCTATATTTCGTGTTTTTCTGCATCTCATAGGAAAAACAGAAATATGAAGAGATTGAGGATGAAGATATTTCACCTTCGAAATTGAGTCGTATCATGAAAAAAATCCCCGGTCGAAAAATCGAAAAGGACTTGCCGGTAGATGAAGCAACAGGACTCGAGACGGAAATACCATCCAAGAAAATATTCAAAGAAGAGCGAGAAAAATATCCGAAAAAACCCGAGATCGTCGAAATTTCCAAGGCGGAAATAGCGCAAGACGTTGAACAGGAGAAGGCAATGACGGAAGAGCCCTTGCCTTTGTTGGCGGAAGAGCCCTTACCTTCGTTGGTGGAAACGGCTGTACAATTCCCTTTGCAGGAAATTAGCAAGAGAAAGCGCAGAAAGAAAGTGCGGAAGAAGCGGCCGATGCCCGTCATTTTCAGGTTGGCGAAGCCGTGTAAAACCGTTGTTTGCAAACCTGACATTTGCTGCCGTAGGACTGCGTCTGGGAAATTAATTAGGTACGGCATGCACAGAAATTTGAAACGATAAATAGATTTTTCTTACAATAAAAGAATATTGTTTATATAGACATACATATCATTAATAAAGAAAATTTCTGACGGAAGTTCACAACATGCTGACCAACTTATATACCTGTATAACATATACTGGGTGTCTCATAATAGGTGTATGACCGTTCATGGGTAGGTAGAACTAAACTGAATCGAAAAGTCCTCTACCATTTTGCAAAATTCGCAATCGTTAACAAGATATTAATTTTTGAAGATCGTCGAATAAACTTAATATCTCGTTAATAAAT